GCGCGTGTGTGCGGTGTGCGTGTGTGTGCGTGTGCGTGTGTGTGTGCACGCGCCAGAGCTCATCGTTTCTGGGGGTGGAGAAAGACGGGGAAGAACGTGGGAATGCGGCTTTCTCCTCGGCGTGGCACGCTCCCGGGGTGGGCCTCCGACAGAGGCGCGCGCGCGCACACGCACACGCACACACACGCAGGTGGAAGGAGAGGCACACGCACAAGAAAATCATAAATAATCCCGCTTTATTGCTGCCTGATTTTCCCTTATCGGAAACCATTCATGTTTGCAGTTGCTGGGGTTATTGAGGGTCGTAAAAAACGGATTCGATCTAAACAAGATAGATAAAAACAAAAGCAATCCTGTAGAATCCGAAAGTACGGTGGGGCTCCGCCCCGGAGATAAATCTCACCGCCGTGCAAAACACCTGAACATCGGAAATTTAACAGAGCGCCTTAAAAATATCAAATTAAATGTAGGCGGTGGTAACATGCATGTTAACAATTTCTCTTATGATAGATGGTTCAAATTAACTTCCAGGAAAGTGCATTAACGTTGCCTTTGAAGGCTCTGGTCTGAGCCTCTGAGAACACTGCCCGCCTTTTTTATTATTGTAACCTGCAAGAGGGAAACATATAAACACCCGGGACAGCAGGTAATGGGGGAAATATAAACAAAGCCAGAAGGGACGCTGGTGGGGAACAGAGCTGCTCAGACTGGGCCTCGGCCTTACCCACTGTGAGTAGGGTTAGCTGCAGTTTTACCTCCATTATTGTCACTATTGTTTTTAATTCCTCCATTCAGAGAACAAATAAACTATCCTAATAAATCTAGCCTAGAACCAGGACACTCAAGTGCCAAATTAAAACCATTCTTGAGCAGAGATGGCAAAACCCCTTTCCCAAGGCCTTGTTGAACACTAAGCAGTGGTATAATCTATCAATATTTCTTGGCTTTCATGCGTGAAGAATCGTATTTACATTGTATTAAAATGACTCTTAAATTTGCACAATATTGTAATGTAGCAAATGTAGTATTAATATCGATCTGAACAGCAGATAATTTATTTAGACAAGAGCATCTCATTTGTATGCAGGGTGGCCAGAGCCGTGGACTTGGACTGCCCCCCTTTTACTTTCAGTGCATATACAGGTCTGCTAGTGGGAGAGGGAGTTATTCTTTGCAAGACGATAAAGTGAGAACCTTAAAACAAATGGAAGATTTATTGAATAGCCTCCTCAGTGTTTGAATGCATTTTATCTTAATAAGTCTTCTTGATAGAAACGTGTTTTTCAAAAGTGACAAAGAGCCTGGGAAGCCATGACCAGGCTGCTTTAGCTCTGGCAGGCCTGGGGCCTGGCTGGCTCTCCACTACACAGCTCTTTAGCCAAATTAATCAGGAAGCAAGCCAGTGTCAGGGAAGCTGGGGTTTTAAAATCTCATCCAGTGAGAGGTGTCTTGAAGCAGAAATGTGACTTGGAGCTGGACAGAGGTCTTCTCAAGAAAGGTCTCCCCTCCCTTTTCCTTGTCTTCCCTAAGGTTCTTTGAACCCCCTTGACTTTTCTGATCTCCTGCCCTTTCCCAGAGAGAGGCAAGGACTGTGCAGGCTGCAGAGAAGACTGTGGAATTATTTAGCTTTTCTTTCAACTTTTCATCCTAAAACATTCCTATGAAAAGTGTTTCTTTAAAAAAAAAAAAAAAGTTTCCCCAAAGAAGTTTCTTCATCCAAGCCTTCAAGGTGCAAGGGAGGCCGAGAAGTGAACAATAACATTATTTTGTTGGAAAAATTGCAAGCAGAATATCAGAAAATGGAAATAGAGCTGTCAGTAGTAATTCACCCCCCTCTTTCTTACAACACATTTCCACTTTTGACTAAACTTGTTTTGATTGCCAGCCAGAAGGGAATTCATGGGAAGCCTTCTCAAAGTCATCCAACTTTTGAGCAAACTTTGAATGATGGAAAAGACAGTTTTAGACATATTGTCCAATGAGGTTTGCTCCGGTTAAGTATTTGAAGCTGGCACGGGGGTTCCCTGTGGTGGTTTTCACATTTGGCCTCCGGATGGTATGCTTAATCCTTAATATTCTGGACAGCATCCAAAGACTAGGTCATGACCTGAATTTACTTTTTTTTTTAATTCATTAATTCATACACCTAAATATTCCCTCAAATAAATGAGACCTTCCCTGAAAGAAGCCATCTAGTTAACATAAATACAATAAATCCATTTTCAGTACAATAATAACTTTGATTTCTAGTTATGGCAGCTGATTACATCTATATTTCCTGAACACTAAACTCTTCTGAATGCACAACATGAAATACATTCTCTGCACTACAAAGGCTAAGCCGGGAGGGCCTGAACAGTAATGGTTATTTATTTACATAATTTCTTTTCCATATACTGTAGAAGAAATATTGAGGTTTCCCACATTGACACTACCATATAAAAAGCGAGACATGGATTTTGCACATTCTGACTGCTTTCTTATCTGGGGTATATATAACTCATGGAGTATAAATATGGACTACATTACAGCCCCTGCTCACCTAGCCTTGCTACCACAACCACCCAATCCATCTAAGAGTTCATACGGTCTGTCCACAGTTGGGGGAATCCTGTTGCAGGAATATCCGGCATGAGAATGACTATCTACACTGGGTAGCCAGGCCCGAACTAGGGCTCCTGCTGGAGGGAGGCCATGGGGCTTGCCTGCTGGCACCTGGCAGTCCGGCCAGCTACAGGCATTCTGCCTTCAAAGGAGGGAAGATTTCTAAGCAGCCAGCACAGGGCCCAAGCACGGCTCTCCTAGGCTTCTCTCCCTTGGAGTGGCCTAGCTGGGAGACGGGCAGTGACCCTGCAGTCTGGGGGCCCTCATTGTAAATATCAGATAAATGTTTTACGGACCTGAGGGGATACCATATGGGTCTTCAAAAAATCTGCTGGGGTATCAGTGGGTCCTTTTCATTTTGCATTGTCTGAGGCTGAAAGGGATCCCGTGGCATAATGGGCAGATAATGCATGTAAAGCAAGATATATGTAAATATGAGTCTGCATGGTGGCCATTCAGCAGAGCCAGGTTAGCAAGCAGGGCCAAGGGCAGACCTCAGGGTCCCCTCTCTAAGGAGCAAAGCCCCAAAGTGCTCCTGCCCTCGCCCTGCTAGCCATAAAACCTGACTGATTTCCCAAGTCAGGCTGGTGTAGATGCACCCAAGCAGCTGGCTGGAGTAATTAGACATCTGAAAGGAACTCAGTCTGGGTCTGAGGTCAAAGGACACTTGCCTCAGAAGTTCTTGAATTATCACTAGTTTTATTTGTATTTTTGCTCAAGGCCATAGCCTTATAGATGAAGGTGTTAGAATGCTTTGTAAACCCCAGTTCTTGAAATATAAAGACATAAAGCTCAGAAACTCAGCTGACACAGGTTTCACTTTGAATCACCGGCTATGTCTTCATAGGGTCACACTTGCCCATTCACAAATATATAACGTCCTTTTAGGGGCATTGCCATGCATGAATTTCTTTCCAGATCTATATATTAGCAAACTCTGCCTTTGATCTCTAGTCAACCTCCTGACTGGCTAAGGGCTCCTCTGTGATCTTCCAGTTTTTAAAATATTTATTATTAATATAAGAAACAACATAGGTGTTTGAACTAGGGGAGGAAGCCTTCACTTCATTCCACTGATTCCACCGTCCCCTTCATTTGCTGGCTTCTAGTTAGCTGATACAGTATCAACTGCTGCCTTGAAATATTTTTAGGAGACCAAGAGGAGCCTTGATGGATGGGAGATAAACACACAGGTTTTGAGATGCTGTCATTGTGTGTAGGTGCCTTTCCCCCCTTGGTCCTGTAAAGGAAGCCTAGCTCCCCAAATCCCCCCTTAACTCCCCACCTTCCAGTTTTGAAGCAGCAGCAGCAGTAGCTGCCTCTAGCCCAGCTTTGTGTCTGATCACTGAAGATGTCTCCTTTCTACAGCCTGGAGTAACTGAGCATATTCTTCCTGATTATTATACAGCTTACAGAGATGTGACCAATTTTCAATTACTTGATCTAAGGCACAGATAGAAGTGTACAGTCTCACCGAGGATTTGCTGCAGAGCTCTCGCTTGCATGGATAGCGGATCTCAAATCCTCTATTGCTAAAGCATGGGTTTGCTCTGATTCCAGGCACTGCCAGCCCGTGATTCCTCACCCGCTCCTGTGTGTCCGTTCGCTACACACTCTAGGTTCTCCTTGAGGTTTCTGGTTGGGGTCATTTGTTGAGAGGGGGTCTCCAAGAAGCCTTGAAGAACTGCCCTCAGGCTGCATATTTCTTCAGGGCTCCTGAACATCCCCAAATCGGGGGGGAAATGGGGCAAACGCCCTCCCTTTAATGAGCCCAGTGGAAGGATGCTCCCCTGCAGGCAGAGGACAGGTTGCTACGCACAGCAAACATGGCTCCAGCATCGTCCATTATTTAATCCAAAGGTGAAACAGGAAAAACAAAGGGACTAGAGAGCTTGCTGCCTCCGCACGTGCGTGCCTCTCTCTCCAGCTCCCCTAGGCTTGGCGGGGGGCTGATGGATTTTATTTGTGTTGGGGGCTGGTCGAGAAGGAGTGAGGAAGCATGGATGGGGCGGGTTTCTTTTATTTTTTCCTTCTATTTCTTTTTTTCTCCTCAAAAAAGATGATTTTAATGGCTTGCCGTGGGTGCCCCGGCTGCCCCCTGACCTAACCGTGTGCCCACTGCCCTTGTCTCTCCCCCCCGCGGCTGCCCGGCAGACGCCTGCGGCCTGTCGGACGCCGCCCACATCGAGAGCCTGCAGGAGAAGTCCCAGTGCGCGCTGGAGGAGTACGTGCGGAGCCAGTACCCTAACCAGCCCAGCCGCTTCGGCAAGCTGCTGCTGCGCCTGCCCTCGCTGCGCACCGTGTCCTCCTCGGTCATCGAGCAGCTGTTCTTCGTCCGTTTGGTAGGTAAAACCCCCATCGAAACTCTCATCCGCGATATGTTACTGTCTGGGAGCAGCTTCAACTGGCCTTACATGTCCATCCAGTGTTCCTAGACCTTGGGCACTTCCCACCTGCCCCCGCCTTCTTAGAGACTCAGAGGACCGGCCGCGGGGGGCCGTGGACTCCAAAGCCTGGGGGACACCGGGCAGCTGGTGCAGGATGCAGAGTGCTGGGCAGGCTGGGCAGGGGGAGGAGGGCCGGGAAGGCAGGAGCAGCCCCCCC